GGTTCCGATTGACTGTATTTGCTTGCTTACGATCCAATCAAATCACTGCATTCCTTGATTCAATAATAATGGCTAGTGCAGTCAAGGTATAAGTACGCGAAGATCGTAAAAGCTTGACATTGTGAAGATAAAGATGGAGAGGTCATCTTGATTAAAAACAGAATGTGAAGTGACAGTGGATCAATATTTCTAGGCAATGTAACATCACCTGTCTGAAAATATAGCCTATAAATTCTGCACTATTGATGCACCTAATTTTTTCAGTTCCGTCAGGCATCCAAATAGCTTCAACATCAGAAATATAGGCTCATATAGATATATATGGGAGCTTAGTCAAATTGAGGATAGGGTACGAACTGTGTTTGTTGAGTGTGGTCACACAATGACATGATGAATTGCTACTCTATGTACGATAGGGGAGTAAATATGTAAGATAAACGTTTTGCACCTGGACAAATCATCTCGTGGTTTCTCTTGTTGTTCAGAAGAGTAAGAAGAGTAGGCTTCAAAAACTTGACCCAATTAGGACTGGAGCCGGCAATGGTTTCAGACACGTTCTTTTTCCTTAACCGCAATCAACGATAATATGAATTGTTGTGTAGCTAACAGTATGTCGTGAGAGTTCTTCTACCGCTCTGCAACAATCATATCGAGGTTATAAATGGTAGTCATAATTTACTGGAACGATGTCAATATTGTCACGTGATCACATGTATTGGTATTTCAAACATCAGTGGCAGGTCGTTCAAGACTACAAGCCTTTGTAAACAAAGTCAATATAAACAAAAAGTAAGCTAGTATCAGACGTATCCCCTGAAGGTTTTAAAGTTAAGGACTATATTCTGGTCACAATTTTACTATGACTTGACCAAATAATTGTAAAATTTTACCGAATGATTCTGAAGGTTTAAATAGATCTAAATAACTAGGTTCATTTAATTTCTATAAAACAGCAGTATTAGCGTACTCTTTCTCGATTTCAAGGTGGTTATCAATGGCGGTGCCTGTTGAAAAATGGTTTGCACCCTCCTAATTGTACCTCATCTTATTTTAATTTGAAAATGTGGTTTTTGTACGATTTTGCCCCTAATAACGTGTCAGAATCAAAAAAAAAATTGTAAATTTTTTGAGAGATCCCTCTCATACGTTCAATGAAAAACACGCGATTATGAATCTCCCACAAAGTTGCTGGATTTATAAATCAGCTTGGACAGTT